ATCTCGGGGGTTCTGCAGCCGCCTTCGTGGGTAAAAACGCTTGGCCCGTCCTCATTACCAGCCTGACACACATGTTATGTCAAAGGAATGGCACCAAATGGGACCAATTCAGGTTGGATTCGGCGTGTCTCCGAGAGAGTTCCTTTTCTAAAACACTAATCTCTGGACCACAAATTAGCTGTCAGTCATCAGCTGTAGACAGACATCGTACCAGGGAAAAGGCAGTCCCCAACAAATCAACAACACGTCAATCAAACACACGAACACGTGCTTGCGGCCATCGACACGAGAAGGTACACACTCTCGGGCAGACACGTGCGTTAACACATACACACACACAGGGGCCGGTGGGTGGGTGTGTCTTACATGTGATAGCATTTCCTCTATTAGACTAATAGGCCCTAACTCTGTTTTCTCCATTAATTCAAGGTGACTCCTGCAAAGCATTAGAGAAAGGATATGGAGCTGAGGGCTCTCGAGTGCCCTCCTAATTAATAAATTGCAATATTGCCTGACTGAATTGCATTCATAAAGAGTTTTTTATCTCCCAAAAAATTTAAGAGTCAAGGAAATGTCTCTAAGCATCCAATTGACATGTCTGCAGATATTAGACAGCATCTTGATTGCTTGTGGAGTTTAATGGTGTTCAAATGAACACATCAAAAGAATAGTACATTTTCCACTTCAAGCAAGAAAACCACTACAGGAGTCATGGGATGATGCATGACAGGATGTAGAGATGTTGGCACAGATTTGTCAGATACACAGAATGCTGTGGCTCGTATCAAAGAAGAGCTACAGTTAAATGATTAGTTCGACATTTGGGAAAATTTGCTTTCTTGCTGACAGAAGAGAAAATTGATACCATTCTCATATCTTTCTTTTAGATATGAAGCTACATACAAGAGATGGTTGTTTGAGCTTAGCATAAAGACTGGAAGACAGAGGGAAACAGCTAGCCTGGCTTTGTCCAAAGGAAAAAAAAGGCCTACCAGCACCTCCATAGCTTATTAATTTAAAGAATATTTTGACATTTTGTTGAAATCTTATTTTACTTCTTGTTGAGAGTTAGATAAGAAGATTGATACCACTCTCAAGTATGTATGATAAAAATGAGGCTACAGCCAGCAGCCAGTTATTTTAGCTCAGCTTAGTTTATGATGAAGATTGGAAGCAGAGGAAAAAAGCTAGCTTGCATCTGTCCAACAGTAGCAAAATTGCCTACCAGCACCTCTAAAGCCTAATAATGAAGGTCCAGTAGCTTACATTTAGGAAGTTCTGTTGGCAGAAATGGTATATAATATTCATAGGTATGTTTTTATTAGTGTATAATCACCTGAAATTAAAAATTGTTATGTTTTTGTTACCTTAGAATGAGCCGTTTTTATCTACGGATGGCGCTGGTCACCACGGAGTCCATGTTGAACCACTGTGTTTCTACAGTAGCCCAGAACAGACAAACCAAACTGTGGCCCTATATAGGGACGTTCGCATTTTTCATGAGTTCTGCAGCCACCGTTCTTTCTTCTCCGAGCTTGGAAGGAGAGAGTGACACAAGGCAATTGCTATCTGAGTGAGGCAGTTCAATTACAGAACACAATGGACCTTCTCCTGCACGTGTCCTGCACGTAGCTTCATATTTAAATGGAAAGATATGATAGTGGTAACAATCTTCCCATCCAACTCTTATTCTTTTAAATTATACTTCCTGTTTATTGCAACTTGGATTTCATTTTCCTTGTTGTAGCAGTGCCACCGTCTAAGTCTCAGGAATTACTCTGCTGAACAATAGACCACCACAAACACAAGACCTAAATATAAATAATAATTGCCCTTTAATGTATGACTGTAATTATAAGAATAAAAGTAATTTTGAAGAAATTGTAAGGTTTCCTATTAAATGTGAGGCTGTGTCTTACTTAAAGCCAGAGAGAGAGAGAGAGAGAGATTCAGTCCTGAGTGCTGTGGTGCTGATTGCTTGTGAAGCCTTTGTGTTTCTCTGTGCCATGTCTTGGTGGGGCAAAGCACCTCGCTGTCACTGCCATTCAGTCAGACAAAGTGTGTGTGTGGGTGTGTGTGTGTGTGTGTGCGTGTGTGCTCCACATGTGTGTACACATAAAGTCAGCTAGGTATGAATCAGAGGGAGAGAATGAGGCCATGGAAAGAATGACTGGATGATTAGACACCCAAACTGCTCCTTCATGTCAAGCAAACAAATGCCAGAGTCACCATTCCAAAAACTACAACAGAATAATGTAGAATAGAACAAAATAGAATCTGAGTTTCTCATTTGACTTGACAACACAGAAAATAGCCAGTTCTAATAGGGAAATTTAACTGCCAAAACTCAAAGCGAAGCACTGGCAGTTCACAAACTTCCAGTCACCATGGGCTACAGGAGCAGAATAGAACAGAAAAGTAAATGCATTGGTCAACCATATAGTATAACCATACCAGAGTTAAAATGACACTTTGTACTGGTCTTGCAGAGGAAAGGTATGAATATTTTATACACCTCTCCTACCGCATAAGTCAGTGAAAAAAAAAAAAGTAATAACAGCCTGTTCTTTTCATTGGGTGCTGGGCTGAGGGACAGGCAGAGCAGTGCAGTAATGCGCCCACTTTAAAGGTGACCAGACACATTCTTTCTTTGCCCCATAGTTCTGCTTGGGCTATAAATTTGTCACCCAACTGTTGACATCGCTTGCAATATGCTGCGCTCCGAGTGTGATCACCACATGCACTGTGAGCAAGAACAAGGCAGTGCGCTCTTTCTTGTCTGCTCGCACAGATACACACACACACACAATGGTGACCAACGAGTCATAAAGTAATAAAGCTCTATAGACCTCTAATGAAAGCAAAGAAGAGAGGGAGAGGGAAGAACAGACTCGGATGAATAACAATCATTGCTGTGATGGGGGTGGTAGTGTGTGCGTGTGTGTGTGTGTGTGTGTGCGTGTGCAGGGGGTGGTATCAACTTCTCCCTCCAGCAGCAGTGAAAGCAAACTCCCATCTTCTCTGTGGTCCTGCTCCTCCCCTCTGGAATGGAATCCACCAAATCGCTGCTAATTGAATAAGTGACAATGAACGGACAGACGAGGCGACAGATGCTCGCGTGCCTTTACAACCAAACCACCAGCACCCGCGCACACACACACACACACACACACACACACACACAAAGGGGAGGCAGTAGGCTGACAGGCACTGAGGGCTTG